TCGAGACGTATTATTATCTATCTACTTATATGTATATTGTAAACATGTATGCAACATTCTCGCTTTGTTTGCTTACGTTTTGGCATGTGACAGAATCAGCCAAACGGTTTCTCGTTAATCCTTACTTTACTTTTCTTTTGGTGGCAGAACGTAGTAGCATAATATATTTGTAAATATATGACATCAGTTTATTTTCTCATCGTTTATTTTGATCTTTGCTTATAAAAATATTAAGGATTTTCGAAACAAAATTACGCTCCCAAACTATAATTGTAATTCTATTGCTTAGCTTGACTGAGACTATTAAATGTCTCTTGCTACGTAGTTTTTAAATATGGTATTTAGTTGTAACCCTTTTCGCATCAGTTCAAATATCCAGTTTTACTTAAGATTCAGATTAGGTTTTAATGATTTTTACTTTTCTACAAGAATGAAAGTTTTCATTATTTTGACTTGTCAAATTCGTAGAAAAATGTATTTTAGAAAATGTTGATATCACGGAGATATCACGTTTACTCGATAAAAATGGAAGTATGTAGGGAACCGAAAGTAATTAAGGAACTAGTCTGGAATTTGTCGTTATTTAAAATTTTTACTAAGACATTTTCTATCAAAAAATCATTATTTTTACGTGAAGGTAAATTAGTGGACTACCAAAATTGCACATAGCGTAAAAACAAAATTTATTTGTTCTACTTTCAGGTTAACTTGTACTTCCAAAATTGTTATATCCGATGACTTGAGTGGCTTTTATGTAAGGGAATTGGTGCAGATGGTATCTTATTTTCCCATATTTCAGCTCCGGCTCATTTTCTTGTAATTTTGCCCAAGAGTTAAATCTTTCAGTTTAGTTGTTGTTTGTACTTTACTGCACCTTACCCGCAATAATACCCTATTGTGTATATGTCATTAAGTTTAGGTTCTTTAGCAGCAAACAAAAACCTACACAGGGCTATCTTGACCTGCATGGTGTGCTCATGAGGTTTGTTATTTTTTCTTTTAACCATTAGTAAGGGTGTGATATAGCTAAATAACATCATAGTCCATAAATGCATATTAAGCTCCACCGATTTGACGACCAGATGAAAAGTATTTTTTATGAAATAAAATACGATAAAAAACTGTCGGTTTGGCTAAAGAAGTCGTGATCAGACTATATAGACCGAGTGACCCAATGAATTTTGTTTACCTTATTGGGAGTTGATAATAATATGAGATTTGCTTTGACAACGCGAGACATAACTCGCAAAAACAAATATGAAACTAGTAAAATTGACTGACTTGATTGATTGATTTGTGGCTACATTTATAAAGGAAACATAAAAATGATCGTCGAGCACGGGATTAGGAAAAGGTAAAAATCATTGAAAATTCTTTATCTCAATTTAATCAAAGCGTGTCTGTTCAGGATTTCTTTACTCAACATATCACCGTAACTTTTTCATTTTATAAAACATACTTTCCATCCGACCGACAGAATGGTGAAGGTAGATCTTAATGCGGATTCTCTACTATTAGCTTCAGACATTGTTTACTAACAATTTCGAAATGAAAAAATACTACTACTTTAGTGGTTATGGGATGCTAAGTGATTCAAGTGACACTAGGAAAACCTGCAGGCGACATATGTACAGAGATCACGAAACTAAGCTAAGCAGAAGTTTTGATTAGCCATGTTTTTGCATACATATATTCATACATGTCCAAAAAGTATGGATGCATCAAAATATATCGAAAAATGCTCCTCGTAGACAAAAATGTTGTGGAACGAAGCTGTAACGTCATCTAATGTGATGGTGTGAGGTGAGCTTGGAGGTGGCTTTGACTATGACATTCCTCCAAGATCATCTGAAGGCCATGTCAATTTTCTGGGCATATGGGAACCCCCTAGTTGTGACACTGGAAATGTAAAGCGCGGAAAATCTTACGTCCAAGTGTTCCTTTGCCCACGACCTTGATCATTACCTTCAAGGTCATTTTCGGGTCGTCTGATGACGGCTTTGATCACGACCTTTACGTTTTACGATAATCGAGAGATTTTGTTGTAACATACTTTTTGAACATCCTGTATGAATCGAAGTTACTCTGTTACGAGTGTCTAAAAAGGCAAGTGTAATGAAATGGTGTGGTAATTTTGATTGTAACGTGAAAGATGGTTCTTGTCGATATGACATCTATGAAACATCAACATTTGCAATTTCTTGTAAAGGGCACCGTTCAAACATGCTTTTGTTTGCTGTTAAATTTTAAGCTGAAGTTAGTAAACCCCCAAGAGGCTTCTAATAAATAAAATTGAATAGAATGTCAACAAAACAAACTTTGCTGGAAGGGTACGTAAGCTAAAATTACACAGTTATGTCGACTATTAGCACACGGAGAGAATGGTTCGGTATTAAGTGCAAGAAAACAGCTTTGTCAAATCCGCATCTAGGTGATAAAAGTCGTGTTTATGGATGCTGAATTTACAACAAATTTTCATTTTTTTAATTAAAGATGGATCTATAACAAATGGGTGTCCATTCAGGTATCTCAGCCGCTTTCGATTAGCTTTGACAGTAGACAGCAGTTGATTAACAAATTATCAAATCCGACAAACTAGTGAAAACTGCTGCCAACTATCAAAGGCTATTCGCTATTGTGACATAACATAAATTAGCTGGACTGATTTAAGTTATTTGAATTGTTTTTGAGCCGAAGACAACCCTAACAAAAGTCGTTGCTTGTGAGTTCAACACGAGATGTTGAAAGTGTTATATAAACGTTATGAGATGAGGATTTCATTCAAAGGTTACATATTACTGATTGTCGGTACTCCTGAGCGTTTTTCTTGCACTTTGAACAGGACTGTTGGTTTACTTCATTTACTCTGGGAGTAAATGTTGAGAACGCTGTTGCGAGTTTGCTAACACATAACATGAACCAGATGGTACATGACTAAGGCGAAAAGTGACATTTCCAGTCTCTTGGCTTGCTTTTAATTGATCGAAATCAGCCGAATCAGGGTTGAGAATATGCTAGCAATGTGTACTTTTCGTCCATTGTCCTGGTGTATAGAGTTTAGAGTTTATGCGCCTACACACGGGCAAAGACTGGCTCACTAATTATGTCTTGTATCTTATTGTGAAAGACTTTTTTAGAAATATAACCTGATTGCAAAATCTAGACGCTGTTTTATTTTGCGAAAATAATAGAGTCAGGACTAATATGTACCCTTTCAGCAAAGTTTTTTCCTTATTTTTTTTTTTATAATACTTCGTGGTTTACTAATTTTATTAACATGAATGCATGAATGTTGAAGTGATGCTTTAAGGGTGAGTAAGAGTCCTTTCTCTAAAGCCATCCTTTCTTCAGACCTGACCATTGCCTATTTGAAGGTAATATCTTCACGAAAATGACTTGGAAATCCATTTGGATGTCACATGATCAGCATTTACTGCGGTCCGTCAGCATTATCATGGAATTTCATAATAATAGCGTTCGTTTTACTTGATCTCAGAGAAGCTCACCTCACTTAGATCGGTCAGTTTATTGCACGTCGTTTTACAAAATCTCAGTTTGAATATTTCTTTGACAAGTAAGTCTGACATCAGATTTGTCAGCCTCATGTCTGTATGTCTACCTCACTGCACTTGCAACAATTTATTGATCGTATAGCTAAGACCTTTCCGTCAGGCTCAGTATTTACTTTTTAAAAGTGCTTAGCGTTTTCAAGCGCTGAATAAGTATGACATGTCGAAGTAATGAGCAATCCGCTGGCCGTGTTGACCGAAAGTTGAGCACGTTGCAAAGGCAGCCATTCACAGTTTCCCAGTAATTGCCTGACGTTACATCGCTCCAGGTTCCAGGTGCTTTAAGTTTATCGAACCATTCACATTAGTTTCAAATCGATAACGTCAATTTTGGAGTGATTGAATATTTAGACACTATTGCTCCGAACGAATCGGATATCTCACGTTCATGGATAGTTTTTGGTTGCATCAAATTTGAAAATGGAGCTATCACGCATAGGGACTTTAAGACAAAATTTGAATTCCAAACTGACAGTTCGTTTTTAATACTAAATTGTGTCATCTCCCGCGTAGGGCCATAAAAGCTAATCATATAGGTGTCAACTGACAGGTTTTATGAATAACTTTTGTTTTCATAAACACATTCCGCGGGATTTATTCATAAAACCACCAAGTTGACCCTATCTTTTAAGGCTGTACTCGGAATATATGATTTCGTTTAGCACCAAAGAGATTTGTCGGAAACTTCCTAACCGCAATACCCTGGACCCCCCCCCTTTACGCGGTGGCCAGTATCTCTAGTCACAACGGCATCGCATTTGTTATACGGTTTACATATCATCGCCATACCAATTGCTTTAAAATAAGCAATTTTAAGAGATGAAGAGTGATAAACCGCGGTTGTTCCTTGGTTATGCCCGTGATTATTCTGTCATTTGCCCTTCTGACAGAATACGATAAATATAAATCAAATATAAGTAAATTCTTAACTGTGATATTAACAACGCACTAATAACTACTTTTTAAATTCTGCTCCAAAAACCATAGATTCCATAGAAACTCTTAGTTCTACCGTTATTGTCTATGTTTTTTACTAATAAATTACAGACGACACAAAACAAACATAAGAGGCACAAAATAATAGGACACGGTTATGCTATATTCGTGGATTGACATTTGATATACAAGAACCGCATAGAAACCACCACTTGAGCAAGGTTATGATTGGTCTGAACTGTCATAAACGGTGACGACTAAACATGACTGGTTATAATTTGTATAACGTTTAAAGCGCCGTCAACGTCCGGATAACTTTACATAAGTGCATCCTGCACCCGGTTTCGCGGCAGTTTAAATATGGACGGAGTGAAAAAATGATGTTTGAACAAACTTGCGCCTAGACAGCAGCGGTATTAGGGGTAAATGTACATGAAACAAAAAAAAAAAAATACGAGAGAAATTGAGTTGTATAGTAGGATAATCTTCTGACAGGTTCCCGCCATCAGACCCCGGATACGGACGAGCGGCCATACTATGGCGGCGGTAGAGGGCGTGGTCGTAGAGACGGTAGGAGAATGGATGACAGGAGACGCACTACGGATGACGAAGAAACTGTGCTGGATAGCAGGGATGTTTCTAGCGCGGACAGAGGTAAGTTATATGGATTGGTTGGAATATATTAATAATTCAGGATATAAGGGTGATTTTAACAACATAAATGATCGAAATAAGACAGCACAAAGTATCAGCTGTTACCAGAACTGATCACTGCAAAATTGAAAACATCAAGCTCACTCTTGTAAATGTATCCCAGCTCGGATTGTCAGCCGGGTCACGACTGTGGTCGCTAGATGTCACCGATTCTGGTCCTATAGTTGATACGGTCTACTCGCCATTGAACAAACTAGTAATACAGCTTTCGTCCGTCCGTCCAGAATCGGCGGCATCTAGCGGCCACCGTAACCCTTATACTCTAAGTAAGGTTACTCAGCTTTTGTTCCTTATCGCACGGGTATTATGTAAAAAAACCTATAAAACGTCAAAAAAAAAAACTATAAAATGTCTTGTAGACTAGGTAGTTTTTAAGAGTGCAAACAGTTATTCCACGTTTGCCCACTAGGATCGCCGTGAGCGTCCATCTATGGAGGAATGACTCAACTCACGCATTGTTGGTTGCATGTGTTTTGTGAAGACGAGTAGTCTGTACTTTTCATCTCTGAGAAGAACGTTGGTTGAATAGCAACATCGCATCTAGATGATTATGTGTATAGGTCAGCATGTGAATAAAATCTGTGATGTTTACTGTGTGAGAAAATCATTACTGAATATGCTGCCAATGAAGTATACCTATTAGCTGTGCCCGACGAGTTATTAATATGTTGTCCTTTCTGAAGACAGGTTATGTTCAGAGTAACTCATTACGTTTTTTTTATGTTTCTTTGTGTTTTCAAAAACTTTGAGAATCAGGGGAAATGACCACCGCGCCCGCGCTGTGTGTTGTTACTGTTAGCATGTATATGACGTGTAATTCGACAGTGTACAGTGAATGTAATTTCTCTCTCATTTTTGAAATACAGCAAATTTGCATGTGTAATTTCCAGAATGGATAAGAAAAGTGGATGCGCAACTAATTTCTGGCATTGAATCTCAAGTAAGTGTATTTGAGACAAGAATCCCAATGAAATTATCAACACATAATATTAGCACACAAATCCTTTCTATGCACCTATGCATTGTCGTTTACTTCTAGCTATAGTATACAACTTATAGCTTAGACCTCCAGTAATGCCATCTCTGAAGCAGATTATACATCACATCAGAGCCAAACACTGATAACTGACGCATCATGAAGTTTAGGCAACACGTACCAAACAGCACAAAACTGCTGGCCATGGTTGGCCATCTGTGGTCTAAAGACTTAGTTTAGTCTCTTAACATTTACTGCTCCGTCTAGTTTTAGTTTTCACGTTATCGGTAATTATTGACTTATTGACAAATATTCCTCATTATTGAATATTAAGTCTTTCATGTCCTGGATTATTAGATTATCTCTTCAGAATTTAAAAAAATACATGCGTCAGTAATGAGCACTTTTAGTAATAATAATGTCAGGGCACCCGTCAATTCTTTTCGTGTTATCCGATGTCTCAAACAAATTTTATAATTTAAAAAAATGGCGTCAAGTAAGTTGAATCTGCACTTCCTACGCAACGCTGTCATCAGTTCATAAATTATTATGTTCAGCCAATTTTCATCCTTTGAGCTAGCTACAAACATGTATAATAAAACAATTAATTGGGTCAAGTCAGCCCCACACACCCATTTAGAATCTGTACCATAGTCCCCTATTTTCTTCTCTACCCTAAGTCTCGAAGATTTGGCAACGCTGCTGAACCACCAGTCAAAGCGCCTGCGACGATACTATAACATCCCTGTCGGCAATGTACGGAGAAATCTTTAATGTGTGAAATATGTACTGATATATGCATAAAATTACTGGGACTGGAAGTGTATAAATATACTACCGCTAACAAAATGAGATACACCTTCCCGCAACCCCCGATTTTCAACCGCTACAATTTTTTTCTGAAAATGATCAGGAAAAAACGATGGTTTTTATTTTTTCGTTTTTTTGCCCCTAGCTTCTCCGTCACTGGAGCGATTTTCAAAAACTTTTTCGTCCTTGGCCTAGTAGTAACCTTTTATGAAAATTCCATCCAAATCCGAGCAGTACTTGAAGATATGGACAGTTCCGAGATTAGCGGACAGACGTATGTACAGTACATACCGACGGTTCTTCGTCATGTCATGTCATATAACATTCCTCGCCAGTTGGCGTGGGAAGTAAGATGGCAAATTTTATCATATATTTTTCCGTCTAGAAAAAATATTTTTTATTATAAACCGTAGTGAGGTAATATGAGTTTATGTATCTTGTTTATGGCGCATTTGAATTCCTTTGTAGACATCTTCCAGTTTCTGTTTGCATGAAAATATGTTATTACATTGTCTGTTTTTTATTGTGGTTAGTGTTTAAGACTTTTAAAATGGGATGGTCTAGGACTGAATTCTTGTTCTCGAAAGTGAAATGTTTTCGAAGTAATATCTCTCGTATGACGTCATTCGCTACACTTGGTAGTGGGAACAATAATGCGAAGACATGACTACTCAAATCTCATTTAAGATACGTCAAAACAAATACCAACGCGAGCTTCAAATTCTCCCACACCTATTGGCTGAAGGGCGATAAATGTTTGGGCAGGCAGCGACAAGCAATTTGTAGCGGAGTCAAGTACTCGTGTGTTTTTACGCGTGAGTAAATGATGCTGAAATGTGGGCTTAAAGTAAGAGGACAAATTATACTAAGTGACATATAAATCCGAACACCCAGTTTAAATGGTTTTATTTTAATAAAAGTTGGTGAATGTATTTATCTTACTGTAAATAACAAGTGAAAAAATGTTCAGCCTTGTCATTTGGATATTCCGGTTTTTATACTGCTTTTTTTTAATTCACTAACGCTCTAAAAATGAATATTTCAGCCGCAGTAAAGAATCAACGTTGGCGGATTTTGGTTCTTGACATCCTTTACGATCGGTTACGATGCCTAGAGTACGGAGACCTGTACGATTTCGTCAACTTAGTGAGTTTGATAGGGGCCGTATAGTGGGATAGTGGGACTTCGGGAAGCTGGACTTTCTTTTCGGGCAATTGCAGTTAGAGTGCAAAGAAGTGTAGACACTGTGGTTAGGTGTTGTCAGGCATGGCTTCGAAAAGGCCGTACGCAAAGAGCAATGGGCACTGGACGCCGCCGTAGAACAACAGACCGTGAAGATCGCCGCCTAAGATTATTGGCCTTAAGGGACCGTTTCTCAACTACCAGGTCCATTGCAAATGAATGGTTTGCAGAACACGGCATGCGAAGTGTTTACCGACGAATGAGAAGTTTTGGCTTGTTTTCATACCGGCCACACTGGGTCCTCCCTTTAACTCGAGAACACCGACGTAATCGCCTTGAGTGGTGCAGACAACGGTCACTCTGGGATCAGGAATGGAACAGTATTGTCTTTAGTGACGAGTCTCGATTTTGTTTAGGCATGCACGATGGTCGTGCCAGGGTTAGAAGGCGACGTGGTGAAAGTAGGAATCCACAGTTTTTGTTGAAAGACATGTTCATCACACTGTTGGAGTTATGGTTTGGGGTGCTATAGCTTATGGTTCCAGGTCACCTTTAATCTTCATCAGAGGTAACATGAACGCGCACGAAGTTTTAGAACCCCATCTTTTACCCTATCTTGACACCCTGGCAGATCCAACTTTCCAACAAGATAATGCCCGACCACTTGTTGCAAGAGTCACAATAGACTTCTTTCAACATAATGATGTCACATTGTTACCATGGCCACCAAGATCTCCCGACTTATCCCCAATTGAGCGCGTGTGGGATATGATGGGTAGGAGATTGTTCAATTTGCAACGCCCTCCTCAGACTCTAGAAGCACTTCGAGAGGAGTTGGTGGTTGCCTGGAATGAGATACCACAGGAGGACATTGACCACCTGGTCAGAAGCATGTCTAGGCGCGTTGGAGAATGCGTAGCACATCAGGGTGCATCCACACATTATTAAACTTCAAAGGGCTTTAAAGCAGTGCAATCATTTTGAAATTTTTATCATTTACTTATGTACTTATACAAAATTTTATTAAAATAAAACCATTTAAACTGGGTGTTCGGTTTTATATGTCATTTAGTATATATACAAATCACAAGTGAGCGTTTTGCTATCGAGCAGTAGTGAGATCGTCCAGTGATATCGCTCGCTCGAGGTCATATGACGTTATACACGATACATTGCTTTGAAGGAAGTTCGCTTTCGGGAACGAAAATACGGACCAGGACCATAGGGGTAGTTTTTAGTGGAGGTATTCAATGATGTTTCCCTCAAATCTGGTCCCTGTCACGGTATATGTGCATGTGTGCAGAATCGGTGTCCTCTGGAGACGGTAGGGGAGGTGGTAGAAGCGGTGCTGGTGGGATGACGGATGGTACCGCCCAAGGAGGCGGATCAGGCCAGAGGCGGCGCAGACGTAGGGCCAGAGGGCAACAGCGCAGTCGCACTCCATCTTTAGCGCCACAATCTAGAGAGAATCATGTCGCAGACATACAGGCGAATGCGCAGATTGTTGCTGATAAAGGTAATGACGGTGGTAAGAGAGCCTGAGGATGCTGAGTACTGCTACAAGGAGGGTGTTGACTGAGATGATGCAGTGGTGTGTGGTGGGGCATGGTAGATACTAATAACTTGACGTGTTTGATATTGCTTATCAGGTTTACAGGTTTGGTTTGTATACTGGCTTTTCAGATAATATTTAGGTATTAAGGATTAACCTAGTTGTTAAGGAAAATATACGTAGGATATTTGGTTTGAGTGTAACAAAGAGGTTTGCAGTGATTGTAACGGGAAGTTAATAAACAGAGTGTTACAGAACGTTATAAGGAAAATTGAAGAGCGGATTCAGTACTTAAAAATATGAAAAAAGGGAATTCGGAAATTCTGTGTTTTTAGGATATGGGTTGTTTTAACTTGTGCATCTTTGATAGTTCAACTTTTATTTCTGGAAAACAGATTGATGTATGACGAGTTGAGTATTGTCACATGCAAATGTATTAACAGAGGTCTCATTAGCGTGCACAAATTTGTTTTCTAAAGCGTTGCATCAGTGGCGTTCGTGCCTGTAAATCTCTTCGTTAAGCATACAGTACCTCACTGGCTTTTGCAAAACGTTACTATAAGTCTAAAAGACAGACTCTACTTAAAATCTGCCTTCTAAGTTTTTCGTTTGAGCGCACCGTTTTCCAAATACGTTTTATCTACAAATGCATCAATCTGTACAGCGTTAATGAAAGTAATATCATTGATTAACGAATTCGACCTGAATATAGCCAATCTAGTGCTACATTCTTGCATCCAAAAAATTACCTAATGCTCATATAGTTGGCTACACCGCCTCCAAACCTTTTCAAAGTATATATAGTAATAATAGAAAGAGCTCTGATAAATTCTCATAGATGACGGATACTTTTTTGGACGCAGGAATATAGCATTAGGTTGGCTATTTTCATGTAGAATACATTAATGAATGCTGATATTCAGGCTCGCTCTTTTTTAACGAGCGTAATGAGAATCCACATGAGACACTTTTTAATCAGAATCAATATAGCTTGGAGGACTTTTTTGCAAAAACCTGTGGCGTACAATTTATCGCTATATATAATATATATACACCCTGTATCATGGAATCGAGGAGTTTCTGGATCCATGTTTGTGTGACTATTCTTCCACAATTTTACGTGCTGAATCTGTCTTCAAATTTTTCTGTAATACCCTATATTTACACAAAAAATATCCTAACATGAACAAAACTTAGCCAGCGAAAAACAGGGCTTTAAGCTTTTAAGCTATATTTGGCAACTGCTAGTTACTTTTCTAGCGCACTTGAGACAAGTGAATTTGAAAAAAAATACACTAGTTCCTTCATTGTTATCGTAAAAGAAACAAATATTTGTGTTCACTCCACTTATTGTTATTTCACTTTCTGGCTTATTGATGTTTGAAATATTAACCGATAATATTATGAAAGTCGCTATAAATAATAAACCAACGTTCTCCATTGTTCTAGTGACCAACCACACTGGCGGCGATGCTCAGCAACAATCTGTTCCAACTGAACACATGAACAACGGTGACGGACCAGCGGGGCATCCTGCGCGAGGACAGCCTCCGCAGAAAGGCAACCGCTCGAACAGGCCGCCCCCTTCATCTCGCAGGGGCGGCGGACCCCCAGCTGGAGACTCGGCCGCCCCCGCTAGCAAGCCACCCAAGGAGCAGCTGGTGAACGGCACCGCCGCGTAAGTGGGAGGAGCGAAAGGGTGACAAAAGGGCGGGGCCAAATGGACGGTGGGCGTGGCTAAATGATAAGCGCGCGTGCGGGCGGGGTTGAGATGCATAGCGGACGATGAAAAGTGGAAAATTAGGTGAAACGAGCGGTTTTGGTCAAAACGATCGTGTTCGTTTGAACAAGCCGCTTTCGAAGCTCCACTGATATTACATTGCTACTTATTCAGGTGAAAAGATAAATTAATAGATACCCTTGCGTTCAAGTATAGATGGAAATATAATAGGATGAAAAGTAAGGTATGAAAAAAACTCAATGATAGTGAATTGCAGTCAATATAAGCAGCCTAATTTGTTGTACAAACTACTACAAATACTTGGATAAGGAGTTCGAGAAAAAATCACCCTATCACCCTTCAATGAGGTTGCAACAGTTGAGTCAAAGATAAAAATAAAGGTACGATGCCTTGATATGATGAAAAACGTTCGGGACAAATCCAAATTGAGACTGGAAACGATTTAATGAATGGTTTTGAGATATGTAGTCTTGAATCCAGACAGTTTCACTCATCTCGAAAAAAATTGAGGACATCAATTCCAAAGCAATATGTAAAACTGAAAGAGATGACACCTCTATAATAGGAATTGACACAAAAAAGATCTTTACATTTGGGTCAACACTTTCAGAACCAAAGGGTAGAGGCCGGTTTCCTTCCAATTGGCTTCTATGCTTAACCGCAGGGGTATTTTTTCTCCAGAATAACCATATTATTAATAATTTATACTCGAATTTTACGTTACAATATTTACATCCACGTAAATCGCATGTTTGACCGCTGACTAAATCATTTTTCGCCATTGAAAATATTTAAAAAGAACACAGCTTAAGGCGCGAAGAATTTTACCTACATGCGAATTAACCACAAGGTTATGAAGTTATAGCGTCGTATAAACGTAGGAAATAGTTGCGTTAGCAGCGCTACATACTCAACGCAACTAATATGATTTAGTAAATGTAGTTTACCAACTCTTGGAAGGTTTGTAATGTTTTGGTACTTCAGCAATTCATTTTAATATTTATGGCTACGCGACACTGACCTATGGTTGCTTATTTTAATATAAGAAACGTGGTTCGACAACAACGTTAACAACTGAGAATAAATTTTACCAAAATTACGTAGTCTATCGCAATGTTATTCGACAACTATTTTGCTAAACTTACGTAGCTGATCTCCAAAGTAACACCCTATGTAATGCGCGCTGGGCAGTAAGATGCTCGCCATTATGGAACTAAAACTGAAACAACTGCTCACCAGAATAAAGATTTTGTACAGCATTAATTATTAATTTATGAGTTTACACAAACCGGAAAAGACAACTTCCTGATTATTAAATTCCAATATGCACAATTTAAAATAATTGACAATTGTACTTAAAAAAGTGTGATGTTTTCCTGAAATGTAATTCATAACTTCCGCTGTATATCTCAACCCGCTCTGCCGTTGAAAAAACAAACAAACAAGGAATTGTAATAGTTTCTATGACTCGCGTTTTCTTAAGAAAATTCTTAATATAGAGAAGTAATAATATAAGCATTATAATACACATACTGATACTTTTCTGGAGTGACATGTTTTCTACTAACCAGCTACAGAGCTACAGTCATTATAGCATGGAGCTTTGCTAAGGATACAACTTTATGTATATTTTTGCAAAGAAATGTTTAATGTGAGTTTTTTTGTATATTTGTAAAAATAAACTTTCTACGGAAAAACGTATCGATAGTTTTTTAGTTGGAAATGGTAGCAACAGCGAGGTATGAGCATACTTGCATTAGCTTTACCTATAATCCACTGATTAATGCTAAGATAGCCAACCATATAGCATATTACAGCACCCAAAGAAGGAATCTGAAAGGTACCAGCGCCATATTCGAAACGGTATCCGAACACAAAAATGAATGTAGACACCCAATTTGAAAAGAGAGTCTTTGGCCTAACAGGCCACTTTAAGTGGGTATCTTCAGGAGGAATACGTTAATCAATGCCTGAAAATAACCATTTGGAATTGGGCAAAAGAGGTCTGAAAATTCTAGCTCCATCAGTGAGAACAAAACACCAGATCTTTTCAAAGTAAATTTCTAAATTCATTTGTGTGTTCTGCTAATGTGTTATAGATGGCGCTGGTTACTTTCTGATGCCGGAATTCAGTATACTTGGCTATAATTAATTTTTGGTAAGAATGTTACCTTTTCCATACTCGGCTTTGCACCCATCGTTTCTCTGTGCTTCATTTCTTTGTGTTATGCTGACTGTAGTGGGACAAGCATTGGTATATGAAGTGTCAGTACTTTCACTGTTGTAAAAACTATTACCGCTGCCCGATGATATACCTTCGAATATTTAGCAAAAAAGTAAAAAAATCGGAAAAATACCTAGCAAGTTGAATGGAGATAAATATGGAAAATTACGTAGTGAGCGGAACCTGCTCCAATCTTGGACGAATCTAAGGACTGCATAGGTTCTGTGAACCTAACAAAAAACAAAAAACGAGAACGTCGCATTGTGGGTGTTTTCAAGCAATATATACAGGGTGTAGGGTTTATTTTCGGTCATGTTCCCGTGCAAAAGAATCGAGGAGAGTAGATAACGTTTGTTTTAATAGTGCTGATATTAACACATTTTGACAAGTAACCCTAGGTCAAATACAAAAAATGCATCCGGATTGCATTAAAAACTTAATTCCAACCGTCATCACTACAAGATAAGTAACATTTTGTGCCAAACATTTTGCGAGTATAGGTAGCGTGGATACCTATTTATATTTACATTTTAGCATGGATCTTTACACTAAGTATCGCCCTGTATATATATAGCGAATAAAGCCCTGCTTTCACGTCAACATGCGTCGTCTTATTTACAGTACGCTTGTGGACTTTTTGTAAGTATTTGGAAGTGTTGCTAGTTTTTTAGGTGTTTTTTTGTCAAAAAAAAAAAAAAATGGGTGCGCATCTTTCTGGAACGGTTTTGTGAGCTTTACGTTTATTGTAAATCCCATTATTTCCCAGTAACATTTAAATTTTGTAATATATGTGAGAATTATCAGCTTGCCCTCATGTAACTTAATTTGTAGTTTCATACAAATTTTAACGATATTCATAATATATTTTTGGCACTTTGTAATTTCTAACTGCAATTTACTTATTGTAGGAGGACTGAATGTACGCTGATGGTAGGGTTAATCTGTCAACATTTAAAGATAGTTACTCGGGAGATGAGCTGATAAATTCCAGCACTTATGTTTACCATTAGAATTCGGTGTTTTTTCAGTTAAAAATTACAACCATTTGTGACCTTATGTATTTATATATTTTATTTATTTTTTGTTCTAGTTTATAGTGCTGTACATTAGTTACAGATTATTTTCTATTTTTTCCCTCATTTTTTTTTACTTTTAAGTGTAATAATGTAAATAAAGCCTTCCTCCTCATTAATTGTTTATTTCCATTTTTTGTTTTAGTGGAGATTTTCGTAGGTGCTCATTTTTGCATTTTATTATATTTACGTGTTAATCCGCTGTGTACCGATGATATAACACATTTTGCATTGAATAAATTATATTAAAAACTGAAAATATTTTTTCTCCCACTACTGTTAACAAAGTGACGCATAGAAAGTGTCGAAATACCAAAGTACTTTCGGAGAGAGACCGAAAAACAGATTTCTCCAAAAATCGTTTTAATTTTCTTCCGACTTTATTTGTAACGGGATTTCAAAATAAATTGCACATTAACAATCCCACTTTTGCTCCTGTACAACAAGGCATAATTAGAATTTTAAAAATACGTTTCATCTCTTGTCCCTGAGCATCAACTTCATTTTTTGTTATAGATGCCATATTGGATTCTTGCACAGATGAATAGAATTTTTAATTCTTATTCCAAAAATGTATGATACGTCATACATTGCTGTCGCCAAACCTTAGTTATTGCCAAAAAGCATCATAGGTAGGCCTTGAAATTGTCTGATAGTCATTTGTTTCACATAGCAGATTTATCCCATGGAGATGGGATTTCAAACTAAATTGCATGTTGTCATTTACTTTTTGTACATTTGTGGACTTTTCAGACCTAAATTCAGCGATGTATTTCCTTAGTTGGTTATGAGTTTGTTTGATGAAAATTATAAGGTAATAAAAACGTAAATCATAGCAGATGCTCAAAATGTTGTCCGTTAATTTGTAGGCGAAGCCTGGCTTTTCTCTGTACATTATTCACTGCTCGATTTATTTTTTTTCTTCCAGTCTTCCAAACTCTGTTGCTATGTTCAGTTTGAGGTCTTGTCTGGTATATGAAACAAATGAAATCTGATAATTTCAGGACCTACCTAGGAATTTCTGTTTTTCTGGAATAACTAAGCTTAGCAATGTCAACTACCATACCATACATTTTTGAAATAAGAAAAAAAAGTCAATTTAATGCTGGAAGACAAGAGATAAAAAATATTAGAATTCTCATTTTTGTAGAGGAGAAAGTGGCAATGCAATTCCATCTCAGTCAGGAAAAAATAAAAGTGATTTTGGGATAGACCTGGTAGGTCAAACAAATGACTGTCTCATAATTTCAAGACCTACCTAGGAAATTTTTTTTAAATAACTAAGGTTTATAAACATCAGTGTATGATGTATCATACATTTTTGGAATAAGAATTAAAAACTATTCATCTGTGCAAAAATCCAATATGGCGTCTATAACAATAAATAAAGTTGATGCTGGGGGACAAGAGGTGAAACGAAATATTGAAATTCAAATTATGCCCTTTTAGTGGAGAAAAAGTGGTAATGCTAATGTGCAATTTATTTTGAAATCCCGTTAGAAAAGAAAATTAACGATTTTGAGAAAAATCTTTTTTTCCGTCTCTCTCCGGATGTACTTTGTATCTCGAAACTTTCTATGCGGCATTTTGTTAATTACCTAAATGCAACTTTGCCTCCATTTAAGCGACCTCGTATCTCTCACAGTTTCCGAGATTCCAATGGTGAGGGTCGAATTTGAAACAACCTGTATATATTTACAAATACAAAAAGACTCATTTTGATTAAGAATATACAGGGTAATCTATTAAAAAATAAAGATAGGGAGGGAAGATATCTCAATTTCCAAATTTTTCGTGATTACAATATTTCCTCGCCACTCTTTTCTGTGAAAGACATAATCATAACCAATATTCAAGCAATCTTTTTGAAGACCTGTTAAACTACTGACCATATTATTTGAGGCTGTCATATTGTTTCTGTGATATCATGGTTCTCTACTAAATGGTAGTAAAACTCCTGGTGTTATCTTAGATATAATAATATGAATTCTCCACATATATGCACTTAAATAATACACTAAACTACACACAGATGCAAGAAATTGTCTGGATAACTTAAGTGTTCTGATAACCACTGAAGTGGTGTTTCCATTGGTGGTATCATCCCATGTGTTTTCACCTTAACTGCAAAAAAAGAATGAATTTGAAAAATAAAAAGGGGTAGTTAGATTTTTCTTGGCCCATGGCAACTAAGGTCACAATTTTTTTATACAATGCTCCTTCAAAAAACATTTGTTGATAATGGTCTATTTGATACCTAAACATTTTGTATATGCTCATGTTGACTTACTGTTTTTGTTACCGGGGAATAATTCCTCTAACAAGTCTTGCAATGTCTTTTTATGATTATCATCTGAGATAGGTTTTACAAGTTTCTGCCTATATCCATCATCAATATAGCATCTAAAGGGAATGTATTTGAAATAATCTTGGTCTCCTGATGCTTCCATTAATTTTCTATTCACAGCCCAGAACTGATCAAATTTTTCTACAAATATAATTATGTTTTTTAATTACAAAACAGATTAAAAATGCAGTTTCCAAAGTTGCAAAGCCTCTTGCAAGATGACTAAAAGAATATAATTCTGTATTGGATGATGTGACACATATACAAAAATGAGTTAAACTGTTGAATGACACATTTAACTAGAAGATACCAAATATAAGTGAAAGTTGTGCCTGTACAAAAATGGTCATATCTATCACAGTGCTGTCAACCACTTTTGCTTACAAACTATAAACACATCCACCACCATCTTTAAGTGATAGCATTGCCATCTTTTGGACTGTTGCCTCAGGTTATGGGGTTTCCTTCTCCCTGGTTGAGAAATTCTGAGAACATGAAATGTCAGGAATGATTATGAGGAAGGTTGAGGAGAAGATTGCTGCCATGTTCAAGAATAAACAGTTCTTCATAGATGGAAAAAGACTTCATTTAGTGGAGTATTAGAAATATCCAACTACAGCATGGGGTTCAGAATCTTCTTGGAAAATATGTTAATCAATGTATCAACAGACAAGGGTTAGTAGGAGGTATGAACATCTTACCATTTTGTAAGCCTAACCATAGTTGGTTGTGGTCTTTTTTCTGCATACTGCTAGCAATTTGACCTCTATGTTTCAATACATCTGCTTCTTTCAAGCAAGCCATGAAGTATGATTCTACCATTTCTCTGGAGACAAAAAAAATTACCACAAAATATAGATATATACATACTTCACAACTTACTTGCTATCAAACCTATAAACTTCCGATTCTGGAAATTTACTGAAATGTACTGTAATATTCCATGGAAGCAGATCATCAGGACCTACAAGTTGATTAGTCTTTATTTCATTATTAAAGAGAAAATTTAGATAGTTAAGATAAGTGGAAAGATGCATGGTTTCATATACTTTCAGAACTTGCACCTTTGAGATAATACATTGGAATTTGAAATATTTACTGCACAAATGATCTAGTTCCAATGATTGAATGTTAGAATGAACCTAGAATGCCTACCTAACAACAGATCGCTGAGCACTCCAATAGGGTACTGCCATTTCAGTGGTTGTCCATTATATTCTAGCCACATCTCCTGTTCAGCTTTCTCATTCGCGACAAACTTTAAGAAATGCTTGCGTACTTTATCTATGACCAAAGGAAAATAGCTTAATCTAGGTACCATCAAGTAGAACGGATCTGGTTCACGAAAGTCGGCAACTTCGTCTTTATCTAAACGGAAACAAACTGGAAGTTTGCCTTCCCAGATTTCTCGTAAAATTTCTCTGTCGTTTGCCATCTCATTTGATGATTTTTTAAGTTGAAAAAAGTGTCTTAATTTAAATGTTTTTGTTGTTGTTTTATTGTTGACGATAAAATCTGTCAAGTGCAATAACCTCAAACACACTGCATGACAACTGACATATGTCGGTGAGTAGTACATGATAGGGATGGGCGATTATTTATAAGAAATAGGATATGGGTTAACCGGTCATTTTTTCCAATAACTTATACCTAAGAAGACTAGAAACACGAGGGTGAAGTGCCTAAGGCAATACACGTATTCGTATGAAGCCAATATTGTCGCTAAGGAGGGCGTGGCTTTCGGAAATGTAGTGGGCGTAGAGTTGCAGCGCCTGTATATACCTGCACGTAAAAATGTTAAAATAACGGCATGCTTCATATCGATCTATTTACGTACATCGTAGAATCCTGACTACGTTTTTAGTTAGTGACGAAAGCAATGGATGAATGCATAAATGAGATGCTACACGCGCGAACCTGAAATACATTTCTGGCGCAATGACTAGAGTAAATATAGAGTATGCCTTAATTCTGGACACTTTCGCTTCACCCCCCACTTTATGAGTTTACCCTGCTGTTTCCAGTCTTCTTGCTTTTACCTGCATCGGTTAGCTGAATCAAATTAACCCGTTATGCGGTTAATCGAAAACAAATTACTTTCGTTAGTTAACACTTTAGGGTATCACAGGGTACTTAGCCTTACTTATAACGTCTTAGAACGTATACCTTTGTCCTACACATATACGAAAACAAGAAAGATCACTAGATCACGTGTATAAAACTCGCAACGATGCTAAACTTTCCTACAACAAAAACAACACAGCCATGCTATTCATGACTCCATTTTCATTGATTTTTACAAAATAGTAAACAGAAATAACCTTTGTTTCAGTTTTTGAATCCCGTGATCCCACAATCGGTTCACTGCGAAATATAAAATAACTGGTAATATTGAATCACTGGCTAATCATATATCTGTTATTTTTACCCATCCATAGTTTATAATCCAGTCTCTGGTTCAATTTCTTGAACATTTATGGACAAGATCATGGTATGATACTGTATTAAAGTATTGTTTGAAAACCGTGAATTGAACCAAACACTGTTTGGAAATGGAGCTTTCATCCTGATCACTTATGAGCAGAGATATTTAAAAAGGTTGATACGTTTTCTAGCAATTAGAATTCTTATCGATATTTCAAAGACTGGTCGTCATTGGCTCCGGATTGTAACGTAATACCCTTGTGCATGGTTATAAGGCTGCCCCAAAAAAAATAAAGTTCTTTTTTTCAAACATGTACCCCATAATTTTGCTTGAATAATGTCAAACCAATTGTAAGTAAAGTTTTATGTACCTAGAACCAGGGCAACCCATACCGAGTTGCATTGGAACATGTCAAAACTTGCATATTAGGCGCGCGCCAGCTAACATAATGCGGTGTTCGTTTGTTTTATTAATAAGCGCATTGTTTTGGTTCAGTCAACATGTCGAAGGAATTAGGAAGTTCCAAAAAGGGAATATTTTTAATAAGAGAGGTAAAGCATCAAATTACCGGTTCCTAACTTCCCTCTAATGGACAAGTACTACCAGTTTTGTTCTAAAATATCGGGGAAGTGAAGTTAAGTGTCAGTGAGAGCGCCAAACTTACTATTCGTGAGTGCATTATTTACTGGGAAAAGGCACGTAAATCTCTACCTAACTGTCTCAAGAAACTAGTAACCTTATACCAAGTTTGCAGAGAATTACAAAAATGCAAGTGAAACATTAGAAGTGTTTGAGCAACATCAACAAGAGTTTGTTTCGAACTTGGACAATCTATTTGATGTTGAGCATGCCGATGCCCTTCAATTGATGAAAATAAATGAAGATAGGTTCTTTATGCAGCGACAAGGAGAGCCAGGTCGGCCTGGTCATTTAGCTGGGGTGCACAGGAAATTAGCCATAAAAGACCAAAAGGCGCGTCTTAGGAACATCGAAGAAAAAAAGCGGCGATTTGATATGTTGCTTCCCTAACTGCTTTGACATCATCCAACGAACCAGTGCAGGAAAATTCATCTTCAGATTCTGAGATAGATTTGCAAGAAACTTTGCCCATCCCAAACTCTGAGCACACAGCCTGATACTAATCAAACTCAAATGAGGACAAGTTTCATAACTTCAAAAATAATTGCAGCATTATATATGTGGCAGTTAAGTATGATAAATGCTGTTTTTGTTATCGAAAGGAGGGCGCAGAAGCTATCAAGCTTGATTTCTAAAGTGAGCTAGCGGATACTGTGACTGTCCACTGGGATAATGTTGCCACCTTTAAATGCACGCCAGTTTAAAGAAGAACGTCTACCGATTGTTATAACGTATGGAAATAAAGAACAACTCATCGCTTTAATCTTGAAGATCAATTTTAGATTCTCGGTTGTAATACTACTGCTTCAAATACGGGCCGCCGTAACGGTGCTTGCGTGCCTGTTGAACAGAAACTTAATAAACAAATGTTTATTTTTGCTTGCCGAGAGCTGGAGAAGTATGGATCTCGAGAAAATACAGATTTATACTGAAAAGCTATCATGCCCGAATATTTGAGTCACTGACAAGCTGCTAGAATTTTATCGACATGAATTGACCAAAGAAGTTGCTAGTGACGATTATCGAGAATCATTAGAACTGTTAATAATATTCCTTGGCGGAGATACAGAGAAAAAATTAATCTATTCACTAAAAATAGCGTTACTAAGTTGCCCAGCTCAGACTTTCTAATAAGGATAAGGCAGCTCTGTTATATATATATATATATATGTATATATATATATATATATATGCTTTTTAAAGGCAATGAAGGCTTACAAAAGAATTAACCAACTCACTTCAAAAGCAGCTTTACAAAAGTTCTGCCAACATTTATGGTATTTGACAGATACGGTTTCTGTCGTATCTCTGTTTGACGATGACCTAGGTGAGGAAACTAAAATAAAAATTGTTTGCTAATTTAGCCAAAGAAAGTCCATCAGCCCACGGTAAACGCTACATCCCAACGAGAGAAGAACTTTCTGGCCCACTTTATGGTAAGTCTGTCAAATAAATGGTCCTTTGTCTTCTTTTACTGCTTCGATACGTATACACTTAATATGCTAATTGTTAAAAGCCAGCATAAACCGCGATTCTGGCAATATATGACACCTGATAATGTCTTGTTTCGATAGATCTTATACGACAGATAGACCAAGGCCAAGACTAGACGATGCTGATGAGTTGCGAAAAAGCGTCAAACATCTGTCCATGGTTGACTGTCTGTGGTCAGACGGACAAAACGAGTATGTTCTGATGGTAGCTATATTTCGTTTTTTCATTTCAAAAAAAAATATCGATGACTTTCAATCAAAAGCAAGTCCTTGTTCAGTCGACTCAACATTGATAACAGTCTTCTCGACGAGTGTCCAACTTCGTGGCCACATAATGATTCTTTTAAACACGCTAATAATAAGGTGCAAAAAGCAGATCAGTTATCGATACGACAAAAAAAGCAGCCAATTTAATGCAAGACTTCCATGGCTTAATCACTACTGATGAACAAAGGTCACAGGCAGGTATATGCTGGTTGTAAAAAGAAAACTTTAGGTTTTGAAATCCATACATCGTTTCTCTATTAACTTCAAATTCAAAGTTCACCGATCGCAATAATATTAATTTTTTGAGTTGCTAGAGTCAAATGTAAAAACATTAGAGACATGCATATTTCAATTCGAACGAAAACTTGTTCGCTCTTACAGGCTGGGATACCCTAATGGTCACGAATACGCTTTAAATGCGGTTTCATTGACCACTTCAGCTGAATCAATTTTTGATGTCTTTATTGTGCCATACAATACAGTACAAACGGCGAAATCTACGTCGACAAATCCTGAAGTGTCGTTTTGGAGGTAGAAAATGGGTCGCTTTATTGGAACTCGTGGATCTTAGCGTCAAACTGACACCGGATTCGGAATGAACGCACCTGAATTCAGTCAAGATGCCAGAAATGTGTTAGACATTGTTGCGATTCCACAAAAAGAAATGCACTAATTTATTTAAAACACAACTAACTTTAACTTAACTAGATAGAACATTTATGTACCCACTATTTATGTCTGACTACTTGTTCACAAAGTATTATGTCGCGCCATTCACTCAACTCTGCTTCCTTCTCCCGGCCGTTGGCTTATATTTCGCATCGCAGGTACTCGTTAGTTTGAGAAGGTTCCACATAGCGGCAGTCCAGAACCTTCGGGGTCAGTCTTCGCTCTCGAAGGAAAGTGCCTGGCGTGGCTCCCATCAGATGTCGCTAGTAGTATCACCCATTCTTGTTACAATATGCTGCAGTTCTTGTAATATTCGCATAGGGAACCTCTTGAAATACTATGTACTTTGGAGGGGCTCCACCATCACATATGATTGTTATAATCGGATGAAATGTGCTCTTAGGAAATTTGGTGCACTGAATATGAATACGACCGTTAAAAAATATCTTTGAGTATGAGTCATTTGACATGTCGTGAAAAAATGTGGTGTTGATTTGAAGAAAAATTGAGAATTTTAATTTTCAAATTTCCATGTGCGTTTGGTATAGGTAACTTTCGCTCCCCCTGGTAGGCTTAATATGCCCCAGCCACGGGATGTAATCGATTCCGGATATAAAGGATGTATTGTAGCATTGATTTTCGTGAAAAAAAAGTGGTGTTGATTTGAAGAAAAATTAAGAATTTTATGTTTCAAATTTCCATATGCGTTTCGTATAGGTAACTTTCGCTCCCCCTGGTAGGCTTAATATCCCGTCCACGGAATGTAATCGATCCCGGATATGAAGGATGCATTGTAGCAAGCCATAGGTCTTAGCATCAAATTGACGAAATATATCCCTGCAGGACTCCTACATGAATATTATAGCGATAACCTGTGAACCACACTATAGTCTCTGATGTCATAGCATTCTGAGTATATAGTATGTATACATTTCTACCGCCTGAATGGATAATTTCCTTTCTACTAATAGATAGTTCACTTCTCTTCAAACTGCCCTCTACGTACATCTACTCGTATTACCAAAGCAGTAAAACTTTTAATAACCCCCTTATATATAACGTATTATGTTACAAGTTTTCTAATATCTGTTTTTTTTTGTCGCTTGCGTAGCTACCATTACTTTAGCGGATTTTATTAAATTTTTAAATTAATATTCTTTCCATGAGTCGGTGCACTTTTTATGAACTTTGAATAGTTACGAAGAGTTTGAAGCTGGAAGCTAGAAGGTCGGATTGCTGAATTAAATAAGTCGCAGCTTCGACGAATTTTGAAGATTTATGTTTGTTGG